TATAGCATCACCAACACATACATTGTTCTTCTCACCACCAATTTTAGCTGCTGAATACATGGGAAATTTACTTTTAAAGATTGTCTTGGTTACTTTTGTCTAATTGCTGAGACAAAATACTCAATGCCCAAAATGAAGGAAGGAAAGGTTTAGTTAGCTTACAGTTTGTGGAAGTTTCAGTCCGTACTTGGATGGCTCCAAGGCAGAGAGGCACATGGCAGAGGGCAAATGTTCATGAAGGTGGAACATAGCCAAAGCAACCAGAGCAAAAACGGAGGAGTGGTGGCAAGCAGCCTCTTCCTCTTCCTTACATATACAAACTATCCAATCCAGGGCAGTGCAGCACTCACACCCATGAATCAAAAACTCTAAAAGCCCACCCCATGACTGCATGTGGCTTTGGGGGGACATGCAGGCATAAACCATAGCAAAGATGTAGTGAAACTTGTTCATTAAAAAGTTTAATCTTTTAAAATTCTGATTATGAAATCAATACCTCTTTTCTTTCACTGGAACAGATCTGAGATCTAGGATTCAGACAGTGCTGTTTGGGCTCAGACACTCATAGACAAGATTTTTCCTACATGGAAATTACATTTTAATGGGGAGAAGAAAATAACCATACATACAGTTATGTAGGGAAGCAAATAGGATGATTTCAGGTGGAAATACATGGGAAGGTGGTCTCTTTGTATCATAGTGACTGGGATGGAAAGGAAGTGATGTCTATGGGGGTGATCATGAAAAGCAGATCCCTAAGAAAAGGGTCTGGAACAAAAGCTTTCAAGATGGAGTCAACATTTAAAACAAGGTCTAGAATGAGTTGGTACTGGGACAGAGAGAAGGCTGACATAGATGAAAAGTAAGATATGAAGGCAACCGGGACATGAATTAGGTCAGTGTGGTCCTGTCTTCTTCAGTATAAAATTTAGATTTTTATCCTGATTTTGATGTGTGTATAAGTGAAATCTGGGTTTTAAGCATGAGGTAGGTGTGATCAGGTAAAAGGGTGATCTTGCTCAGATTTTGTAAGAGTAATTCTGGTTCCAAAGAGGAGGTCACATGCTTATCAATAGAAGCAGTCCTCCATAAGAGTTGATTTTTGTACTGCATTTGTTTATTAAAGCTCATGTCATTTGTTTATTAAAGGTCATGTAGTTAGTGAATATCAGGTTGGTATGAATATTAGATCAATGAAGAGAAATGCGTTAGAAACCCTCTTTCTTATACATGAATTCATATGATACTTGTTTTTTAAAAATTTCTTAAGGTCAAGAAGAGATTGAGTGATGGGATTCTAGACCCTGTTTTTATTTCCTTTATACATCACAGTGCTTTCCATTTTTTGTTTCCTCCCTATGCTGTATAGGCCAGTTAAAGTTACTTTCCATTCTTGTGGAGAAGTATTTTTTCCTCATAGCATAACAGTTCTTAAATCCATGCTTATTTAAAGTGAAGACTACAGAAGACTAGAGTGCTCAGCTGGCCACAGAAGATGGGTCTGCGGCCCCCACTGCCCAGGCTACTGAGTGGGTGGGAACCACCACCGAGTGGTCTTGAGCTGTTCTGCAGACATTTCAGCAAAATGGAAATGAGGTTGATGGGAATAAAACACCAGTTTCTTAAAAAAAAATTGAATACATTTTTCACCTTGGAGGGACTGGAAAGTTTTGAATCATCTCACTGAATAGCACTGGAATATGCACACAGAAGGGAAGGAAGGGAGAGAGTTGGGGGGGGGGTTTCATTGTCCGTTCTCCACCACAACAGCTTTTCAGCTCAGAGTCCTTCATGGCCAAGGTTACCATTTCTCAACTATCCACTTTCCCTTGTGTTCCTTGTGAGCTGCCGCTTGGGTAGCAATTTCAAGGTTTTATCATCTGTGTGTGTTTATCCTTTAGCTTTCAGCTTCCTTCCACTAAGTTTTTGCAGTTGCAAAATTCACTTACATTTTGCTGTTTTAACACATGAATGTGACAATTCTAAACGCTGCTGGAAAATTTTAGAAAGAAACTTCGTCATTAGCGAACAGAGTGACAGAGCACCTCTCCGGCTATGTTCTCATACAAAGTCAAGAACAAATGTCCCATTTGACTTTTGTCATCTTTTGATATTTTAGTCCCATTTGCCAAAAAGATTGATCACTCCAGTACATGACACTTTATGCAACTTGACTGTTATTTACAAATCAGGAATAAATTTCAAATTTGAGCTCTTCCTGTTTCTTCCTTATGTTTGCCCAGTTGTGTTCTATACCACATATTTTCTTATTTTCTCCCTGTTTGTCCTAATTTTAAACTAAAGATCCAATGCATATTTGATCCCCCCTCATGTTGATAACTGTATGTTGTCTTTGGTTGTAGCCACTATCACTGTTCAACAAATGGAAGTTAGCAATTTTGGAAGCGAGTGGGCATAGAGCAAATGGTTGGTAAGTTTCTGGTGACATGGAGGTCAGACTTTCTGGAAGCCCTTCAAAAATTTAGCAGAATTATGAGTCTGTGGGGATAAAGAGATAGGGATCCACGGTACAAAAACAAAGTTAGTGATATAAATAAGACTGGAAGATTTTTTTAAAAAAATCTTGCTATGAGATTTTTATGCCCTTCTGAGGACTGTTGTGTTTTTCTCTCAGTATGGGGCAGAATCATGTGTGTCATGATTGTGGTTACTTATTTGACTGCAGCATAGATAACATATTACATCCAGTCAACAACATCTACTTCATAAATACTAACTAATGAAAACATACTTTTGAACAGGCAGATTTAGGTTCTGTCCTTGGGTCCGGAGGAGGCCATATGCCCAGAGAGGTGTATATATGTGGCACCAATTCTGATTAGGGTTTTGTGGCCAGGGAGATTTTGAGTGGTCTGAGTTGCAGTACTGCAGTAAAGATGAACATATGTGTATGTATGTAAGAGATATTAAGGAGGTAATATTGACAGAGCATTATGATTGACCAGACAGGGGTGGGAATAATATGAGAAGGAGAAAATAGCATTGTTGCAGCCTTCTGAATGTTGACCTGTATTCTCCTTTCTTCCTGTATTCTGACATCCTAGCTATTTTGTGGGTGTTTCCATATCCATATGTCTAGTTATCAGGTTGACCAGCTGTCAGTTCTGTCGTCCCGTTTGGTGGGTTCACAATGGTATGGAGGAAACGATGGGTTATTGACCTTGTAGCAGAGGCCATTTGCTATGGGAAAGCTATTATCAAGAATTATGCTAAGCAGCTCTTCCTGTCAGATGAGTTTTGCTGTTCATTCTGTTAGATGATATGCAGCATAATAAAGTGGAGGGAGTGGATGCAGAAGGAGAGGCAGGATGGTTGAAAAATATAGAAAAAGAAGGAGAATTTAAAAACAAAACTAATAGTAAGAGTGCGAAGAGGAAACTAAGACAATAGGGTGGAAAATTTCAAATGGGCCCTTCGTTTACTGACAGAGTACTAAACAGGATTATATTAATACAGGCAGTAACCCTTCAGCAGCTGGCTGTCAATAGGTGAGGCATTTCATGTACTTCATCCTATGTTATAGCTGAAGAAGCCGAAGCAGAAAGCATGCACAAGAAACCGAAGTGGGAGATCCAAAAAATGAAGAGAAGGGAAAATCGTGTAAAGATCATATAATTAGAAGCCAGTTTAGCCTGGACTCAAACACAGAGAGTTTGAGTCCAGTTTTGAATCTTACAATACTGTTTCCTCGACATATAAATCAAAGTATATAAGTTTCTCATTAAAATATTAACATCTTTGTGTTTCATGCAGTTATTCATGTAAAGATCTAAAATTTCACACTGCTACCACTGGGTTGGATTTTAAAGATGGAATATTTTGCAGGGGAAAGTGTAAGGAAAATGTAATTTAGGGAATTCAAGAAGAGAAACCAGCCTATGTCAGCAAGTTACCCCAGGAAGGTAGGGATTACTTAGAACCAGGGAAAGAAAGAATTTGTAATTCATGCAAAAATGGAGTTCAATATAGGATCTGAATTTGAAAGGCACTAGGTAACTAGCACATATTATCTCTCTCATAAACAAATGCACATGGAGTCTATTTCACGTTTGTTTTGCTTTCTACTTAGCAATAGATTTTTGTAGATTTTTGAATTATGTAATTCTAAGTTGGAAATGTTCCTCTTCATTAAATGTGATCTCAATAAATCGCTTAGTTTGATCAGCTACAAAGTGCGATGGACATAGCAATATCTCACATTTATTCCAAAGAACAAGATAAATAACCTACAAGGTGTTGGAGAATGTAGGTGCTGAAGCCTTATGGATAGCTATCATTTTATTTCAACATTTTTGCTTGCCAGAGTTTTATGGTTTCAGTTTGGAAATGTTCCTTGGGTATTTTTCATTCTAAATGCTCATTTTCCTCCTACTTCTGGTAAAGTACAGTAAGGTGGAATCCAACAACATTGTGTGTCCAGGAGCAGAGTTGTATGCATTAATTTATAATAAAGAGGCTATATTGCTGGGTGACTTTTAAAATCCCATTACAAATAACAGATTTAAAGTGACTTTTCTGTGTAGGAATTTGTCTCAACAGTTTTATCTATACTGTTTTCTCTGACCATTTGAGTTGGCTTGAAAGAAATAACCATTAAAGAAAAAGTAAAGCAATAAATTATTTATTTAACAAATTATTCACGTCTGCCTTAGATTTTGCTAATAAATTAGGTCTGTATTTATAGAGATAAGAAAATGATAATATTTCTAAATTGACTTATGCCAGCATTAAATGGGTGAATATTGACGAATGCAAGACTTTGCTTATCTCTTGGAGCATATGAAAGTACTTGGGAAATTCCATATATTCTCTGTTGATAGTTTACAAGCAGCAAACAGCATTTTAAATGCACGGTGTACATTTTTCACATGTTAAATCTGTTAAGGGGTCATGAAATGCTCAAAAGTAGGACAATTACAAGGGAAATGTGATTAGTTTACATACTTGGGATGTTTATTGTTATTCTTTTTCATTTGCAGGATGAGTAAGAGATATTTACAGAAAGCAACAAAAGGAAAACTGCTAATAATAATATTCATTGTAACCTTGTGGGGGAAAGTCGTCTCCAGTGCAAACCATCATAAAGGTAAGCTCTGCTGTTTTATTTCTCTGCTCTCCTTGGAAGATGACTCCCCCTCACACAGACTGTCACATTCTGTGTCCACTAGTCTGCTAACTTTTATTAGGTACGGGTCCCCACTGGCAATTTTCTTTAAGTAAAAATACATTTATCCTTATGATGACTTTGGTAGATGAAACATGATATTTCCAGGATTACTGCCATTTCTGCAAGTATTGTTCAGAGTATAAATTTTAACACTGCCTTTCCTCCCCCTTTAATGCGGTGATGTTAAAGTGTTGAGTTGAAACGCAATAAAATGGGCTTCAGCTTGCTGTCCTCCTCATAAAGAAAGCATCTTTACAAACGTGCATCTTTACGATATGAGAATAGACATTAATTTTCTTTCTATGCCTTTTTTGGGTCATGTGGATGCCAGAGTTCTTCTCTGACATCCATTTGGACACTACCGCTAGCATGATGTTGGGTCGGCTTGATTTTATAGGATAGAGTGAGAAGATTTGTTCTGTATGTATGTGTTAAGCTTGACAGCTCAAAAATTATGCCCTTTCTGTCCACTTTCCTGGTAATTAGACTCAGTATAATAAACAACTGCCTTTTCTGAATGAGTTAATTTATTTATTTGGTACCAGGAATTGAACTCAGGACCCTGCACTTGTCAGGCAGGCGCTTGTGCCACTGAGCTATATCCCTGGCCCTCTGAATGAGTTAAAATGGGGCTATTTCTAAACTGCATCTGCCACATATTCATAACCTGAGAAGTCAAGTCAGATTTTTCCATGAATTATGGTTTTACAATTCAATTTTCAGTCCACTATAAAGTCAATAGAACAGCAACTTTTACTTTCATATTCTACTTTTGAGTGAAGGTGGAATTAAGACTGCTTTGAATTGTATATCGTTTCAATTAGCTACATATGTGCATTTAATTAGCATTAATTAATATCAGGGAGAAGAGAGAGGGCTGTGAGGTAGTGAGGACTATAAAACACAACTCTTTTCCTTGTATTTAAATCCAGAAAGAGACATAGTGAAATAGAAATTTCACGAAGAGTTAATTCCTACTTTGTTGTTGTGTTATTGACCCATACTGTGTATGTTTTCTTTGATACAGCACACTGAATTATCATAGTTTTATCTGTAAAACTGAAAAGAGATGTTGAGAAGGAAATTCTCTGCAGCTCCAAATTAGCAACAGTGATCCCCACGTAAGGACCAAGCAATGTTAAACAATCACCTGCTCAAGGAGGGGCAGAGTGCTGGAGACAAGCCCTGCCCTGAGCTTCCTAGGAGAAGCACCTCATCTTCATCATAATCACCCTAGGGCCGATTCCCAATCTGTAAAAGAAAAATTGAGAAGGAAGGGAGATTCATAAAAGTTGTTATGATTGGCCTTGCACAGCAGGTTTTGCAGATCTTTCTCCTCTCTAAAGCCAAATGATGAGATATCTAAGAAAATCACTTAAAATACTGCCTCCAGGATATATTGCATAGCATTACTGAAGCTTCTTTTAACCTATATTATATTCTATGCTAATACCCAAACTGGCATATTATCTTAGTAATTGCTAAGAAAGTACTTTTTGAACATAAGAGATTACAAATTGTCTCAGGAACTCAAATGGCCAAATTTAATAATTTTTTGTCTCCTTGGTATTGGGAATGAAACCCAGGACCTCATGCTTGGGGCAGGTGCTTGTGCCATTGAGCTACATCCCCGGCCCTCAGATCCAGTCAATTTTGCAAAACAGTTTTGGGTTGTTTTGTTGTTCCGTTTCCACTCTGTTACTGATGTTTTGGATGAAGATTTTATGCACAATTTCTCCCTTCCTGCTCTT